GGCAGCATCTGGACCCTGAAATCGCTCGGGCCAGCCAGCCCGTTGGAGCTGCTCTGCCCCCGGCTTCCCCAAGTCAGCCGCTGGTCAGTTTCAGCAGCTGGGGTGCTGCCGCAGCACTGCCCTCTCCCATGCTGCGCAGTTCCCAGCCCATCTCTCCCCCTCCCCCTGACCCCTCATAGCCCCCCTTCTGGTACTCTGGCATATCTGATATTCTGGCACCCCCTGGGTCCTAAAGGTGCCGTATTATTGGAAGTTTACTGTAATTGGAACCAGAAGCCCTGTTCTCTTTTGAGGGGTACTTCTCCCATGCTATGTCTCTTCCAAGAAATGGTCTTTAATGACTCAGCGTGCAAGACATTTTTTATGTGTATTTATGCAAGAATCCAAACCTATAGGCTACCACGCCTTCATTTTCTCAGGTGTTTATTGCGTGACACTTTGGATCTCCAAGAACTCAATAATGCCTGCTCTGACTATCCAGTGTATGGGTATGTCTACACTATGCAGCTTTTAGCAACAAGGCTGTGTCCCTAGCTCTAAAAGTCAGCATTTGTGAACACTGTTTGTTGGCTTTTTTGCTGACAAAATACTTTTACTCCTCACAATCAGTTTTCACTTTGTTGGCAGGTGAGTGCTGCTGCCGACAAAGCACCATTCACATTTCCACTTGCCCTGGTAAAACTTTTGTGGGGAGGAGGGAGGATCAAGCACCTATGAATGACAAAAGTTGTGTCAATCAATTGGAAGTGTAGACATAGCCTAGAAGTCACCATTTTCTTTTTATCGATATATCAGTTGAGACCTTGACAGCTCTCTAATTAAGTATCTTTAATAACTGGAACTAGCACACTGTTGTCAGCTCTTTATCAGTTTATCATGGCTATTTCTCCCTCTTTCTGGAGTTTGGAGGCTTATCAAAATGTTGAAATTGCTTTTGGCTAGCAGAGCCCTGCAAAGTGATTCACAAGGAGGACATGGGCTCTATCTTACTTAGCATAGAAACACCTCACTTTTAGGCACTCTGCCTTCTGAGTGGAATATACAACCCCACACCCCAACTCCCTCTACAATGCATGGGGAGAGTTAGGCACCCAAAAAAGTGTTCATACAAGCCAAAATATTGAACAGGAAGCTGCTTGAACTAGCTAGTAAGAAAAGGTAAGGACAGCAATGTGGCCTGCTGTAGCCCTGTCCCTCAATGAACGTTGGTGCCTAATTTGGGGGAGGGAGACCCCTACTGTGGGCAGGGACTCTCCAGCCTGTCTGGAGCAGCCCCCACCTGCAGTGGGCACAGCCCTGCAGTCCATGGACAGGGTTGCTCCACCCCAGCCTGAGGGAGCTGGAGTGTCCCCACTACTCCCATTTAAGTGGTTAACTGGTTAAACATAACACTGATTGAACAGGACTTTACATCCCTATTCTTAATACTCTCCTAGGGTTAGGCACCTAATCTGGGTCAGTCGTTTAAAAACAATGTGGTGGTGACCAGGCCGCCCCCTCATAACTTTTACTCTAGTCACTGGTCTAGTGGCTAGAGCAGTGTTTCTCAACCAGTGGTACGAGTACTCTTAGGGGTACTCAAGAGAAGTCTGAGGGATATGTCAACACAACTGAAATTTGCAGAAAACTGAATTTTTGTGTTAAGTTTTACAGCGTTTTATTATTTTTGTACTTTTTACACCCAAAAATTTCATCACCTGCCCAGCTATGATTAAGTTGTTTAACATATGTGTTGCAATGGTAGGAACAAAAATTGTATGTCTGAAAACTGTAGGTACTGGAAGTACTTATAATTTATTGATTTTTATTTTTTTTTTAAAAGCGGTCATATATATATATATAAGCTTGAGTATCACTGGGTAAGAGCAGTCATCCAGCTTGGTTTGAATCACCATACTTCCTGATATACAACACGGACTTGAATTTGGTTCTGCCATCTCCCAGGAGGGTTCCCTACTTACTGAGCAGAAGGTGGGTTTAGGGTTTCTGTAGGTTTAGTCCAGGACTATGTAGCTCCATCATCCAAAACCTTCTAGGAGGCTTCACAAGGCTCAGTCATTATGACAGACTCAAGGATACAAGAGAAGCTCCAATGGCAAGTTTTAGCTCCAGGACTGAGGATTTCATCTCTCCCAAGGCCTTGTGAAGAATCCCTACTGATTTTACAATTGTTTTCCTCAGGGGTAGAGGAATCTGAGACACAGAAATGAGTGTATCATCTTCTGTGCAACCAGGGGCGGATATAGGAAAGGGCGAACGGGGCAGCCGCCCCGGGCACCGCGCTTCAAAAAGCCCCGCGCATGCGCTGTGGCGCCACCTCATATGCGCATGGCGTCACTGCGCATGCGCTATGGCAAAGGGGGGGGCCCCGCAAAACGGTCATCTGCCCCTATGTGCAACTGAATGCCAGTAAAAAGGCAGGGCAACCCCAACAAAAATCTAAATGAGAAGGGGCTTTTTGAAATTTAGGATGAGATTTTTAGTTCAGTTTTAATGCATATATGATAGTTTTGCCAAATCTTTCTTTTTTTTAAGAGCAAATACATATACCTAAGTTACAAAAAGGTGAGTACTTCATTCATTGAACATATTAAACCAGCTTCAATGCATTTGGCTTGAATAGCTTATTTAATACCACCTAGGAAACCATACCTACTTTTTTTCCAAATGTGTTGCTTTTAAAAATAAGGTCATTTAGAACACAAAAAGTTAGCTGAAATGCTCTAATCTACTTTTTTAAAAAAAAATAATATACCTCTTTCTACAATTTTCTTTTTTTTAGGTAATTTCAAGTGACCCATTCTGGGTACCAACTACTGAGGAGGAATATTTGCACTTTGGGGAAAAAGCAGACTCTGAGAACCAGGCCCGCAAGTACATGAATGCAGTGAGAAAACGAAAAGGACTTTATGTAGAAGAAAAAATTGTGGAACATGCTGAGAAGCAAAGAACTCTCAGTAGAAATAAGTAACTGCCTCTATTTTCAGTTCTACTCAAACTCAGCTAAGTGCAGGTGGATTAGTTTCTGTACAGCAAATTCAAAATGTCATTTTGGACTTGCAGTTTTACACAAGATTTCATATGTGGTGTAATTTGTCCATGGCTTCAGTTGTAATAAACTTGAGCCTTTCCAGCCTTTTATATAGAGACTAACATTTTGTGTAATTTATTTGAATGAGACGTAACAAGAAATTCAGTGGAATTGCTCTCTCCATTTTTAAGAGCCCCCCAGCTCCTGTCCCAAGATTGCAAGTTATTTGTTTAAAGTTTTCTTTCTAATTTACCTGATGTAATCACGACGAGACCAGGTCCAATTATCCACTGGAAATAAATTGGGCAATGAATTTAGCCATTTTCTTCTGTTCTTGACTCTGTTTCAAACTGATTTCTGATTTCTATTAAATGCATTTATTGTTCACAAGTATTTGGCATAACTACACATTTCAGCTTATGCACTGTTCATGAACTTATTCACTCTGCACTCTTCATGGTGTGTGAGTCATCAGCTAAATCATACGGTATTCGTCCTGTTTCTAGACAAACTCTTCAAAGCGGAGAGAGATATAGCATAAATGAAAGATTGACTACTCGTATTGTGCATGGATACCCGTTACACACATGAATACTGTTATTTGTACAAAGAACAACTACTCACCAAATATTTGTGTAAAAAGCCCATTCATAAATAAGTTTGCAAATAGTCATAGTACATTAGTGGTTTTTTTTGCAACTACTCATAATACAGTTGCACAGTTCATTAGGGAGTGTTGCAGATAACCTAATAAAAATTCTTAAGCTATATGTTCTGAATAACCCCCACTGACAGTGAAACAATTATAATGTAGGGCTTGTTTAAAAAGGGGGGACGGAGTTTAACTGAAAAATAGTCAAAATCAGATTTTTCAGATTAACTACTATAACCAGTTGTGATCAGTACAACATGACAGGCTTATCAATGTCATCCATTATTAACTCCAAAAATTACAAATATATTTTGGTCTAATGTGAAAGGATGGAACTGGTTTGGTAGTTTTGTGCAAGATTCCTTATAGCTTTGCTCAAATACTTCAAATGTTATCTACTATACCTTCACTATGATGTGAATCTCAACTGTAATTATTAATATTTATTTATTTGTATTGATATAGCAAGTAGGAGTCTGTCATGGATCAGAGAAAGATGGACCTATTTTGAACAACTGCTGTTTGTGCTCATCCCCAAATTCATTGTAATTCATGATTTAATTTGGATTTAGATCCTGCTCTCTGGAGATGAAAGGTTGGTGCACCAAAGTACCGCATCACCTAAAGCCAAGCATGATGAATATTCTATTAATCTAATTTCAGCTCTTTTGGAATTATAAACTGCTTCAGTTTCATAGCAAAATATTCTTACCACTGTCCAGAACTCCTAATATTCTGTGACAGTGACTACACAAAACTCTGCTTTGTCTTATTTTTACTGCTCCCCAGCACGAATCCCTCAGGAGTCTCTAATTGCACAGAGGCCAGCTATGGGGACCAGGACAGCTATAGCCCCATTGGGCCAGCAGGGTCATGGGTAGAGAAAGGGACAGCTATCTACTATATATTCCAGAGTTTATCTATTAGTATGTCTGCCTGTTTGTCTCCCAGCCAGGGAATATGCACCCCTCCCCAAGCTGTGCCTGCTGCAGCAGCCATGGACAGGCACTTCTCACCTGGCCCCAAGTTGCTGTGGTGAGAGAAGGCTGGGGTTGTCCTCTCTCTTTCGAGCAGCCTACATACTGAACCCCTCATCTGCAGTCTCACCCCAGAACAATGATTTAAATGAAGAAAAACAAAACTTATTTCAGTTACGAATCCAAACAACACCAGGTAAATCTTCTAGTATTTAATGAAGCTGAAAGGGATCAGTTCTTGAGTCTTCTCCCAACTATATTAGAACCGTGCTGCAAATAGTGAAGGGGGGGCATGATGTGTTTAGTTTCGCACAACCATAAAAACATAATTGCCATGTTTTTTTTTTTCTTCCCAGAGTATCTCCTCATTTTCACAATGCTGCTTCTGGGCATTATTCCTTTTGAGCCTACCTGGCCTTTCTATGTAAATATTCTGAGTGGCAATTAGAGGGCGAAGTCAGAAGTTATTTATATGTCAGTGTTCCCTAAGATAAAGGAAACTGTTACTTTTGTTTCACAAGTGTATACTTGAATTAATGTTTATCCTTTAATGAAATAGTAACTTTTTCATTTTCCATCTCTTTGCTTTCATTATAGAAATATAATGTTTCACCTTAAGATTTTATTGAAATTTTATTCAAGCAAATGAAACCTTACCCTCTCTAGAAGGTTAATCCATAAATTACTTCTCTTTTGAGCAGTGCCTACATGAGAGAAGGGGTGGCTAAATCTCTCATTTTCCTCACGTTCAGCAACTCTTCAGGTGTGAGTCTAGATTATTTAAATGCTTTTGAGCTTTTAAGCTTGAATAATCAGGTAGAGGCTGTTTAAAATAAATATTTTATTCTGAATTAATGTTCATATTTTTGCCATGGTCTATCTTCAAATTGCATCTACAAATATGTAGCATAAGGATGATGCAAAATGCTGCCATGCTGCATGTTTGCAAATGAACATTTAATGAATAAAATGGAGTAGCTTTCTGGAGACTTGTTTTTAATGTAAATATTTTTAAATAAAATGTGTTGAAATAAGCAACCTAATGGAAAAAATGTAACTAACCTGGAAACATTCTCTCAACTTTAGATAGGATATGCTTTCCCTAATAACAGGAATCTGAATGCCTATCGTGCGTGACTTGCAAACCACACTTCTCTGTTTTATTCCAAAAGCAACTTCGTGGAACAGTTTTTTCCTGCTTGTTACATGCACATGACAATATGACAGAGTTTTGGAAACTCTCTGCTAAGTGTGACAAATAACTTGCTGATGAAGCAAACCATGGTGAGATTTAATTGGGAGAGCTCAGCCATTAAATCATCTGGTCCTCCATTGCCAGCTTTAGTGCTAAATGTAGTTCTTGATTAAAATAAACACAAGCCGCTTTTCAGATGTATTTTTCAGCCTTTATTTTTCCATGCATTTTTACGTTTTTAGTGACAGGGCCTCAGCTGATGTAAATGGTCACAGCTCTATTGACTTCAGTGGAACTGTGACAATTTGAACTACCTGAAGATCTGCCCTTCAGTGTGCAAAAAACACATCAAACAACCACATAGCTGTGCAGTTTTGACCCTTCACAGAGCAATAATCATTCACTCAATAACAAACCCGATGCCCCCAAATTATTTTGCATCTTGATGTGAACAAGCGGGAATGAAGAGTTGGATTTATTTGAAGAAAACAAGGCCCTTCCTATAGCAATCAAATCCCTTATCATGGTTATCTAGAGGATCCTCCTTTTACTTTAGGAAACTTTTCCTTTTCTCTCAGACCAATAATTTAGTAGATTAACCTGTCTGTCTGTCTCACCACAGATAATCTCCCTCCTGCAGCAAACTTCACTTCCAGCTAAAAGACAAGAACAGTAGGTAGAGAGTAATCAAAGAATGGCAGACACATTGGGCAGTATGATCTTTTTCTTGATTCTCATTGTTCTGTATTACCTTAAGAATTAGACAGTATGTTGCAACAAGATAGGCAAGGGCAGGTTGACACGTGGATGAGAAGCAGACTACTTCACCAAAATACATAATTCTTAAAATAGATCTGGTTAAATAACTATGAAGCTTCCTACTTCTTAGGTACTAACCCACCTTTATCATGATAGAGGCTAGTTTAGTATATTTGTAATCATGCAGAGAGAAAAGGAGTATGTCACTTATTCACAAGGTCTGTAGCACTTGTCATGGGATCCTAAGGAGAAAGAAACATCAAACCATATACCACATAAGAAAATGCTGAGTCCTGAATGGCAGTTTTGGATATGGCTGATTTGGGATTCTCCCTTTAACATGATCACATTTTTTTTTTATAGCACAGATGGATTTTCAAAGTGTTTAGGCTCCACCAGTTAATGTTTGTAGGGTGTAGCTCAGATTGGCAAACTGGATTTAGCTAAGCATCCAAAAGTTTGGATGTCTTCTGAGTTTGTTGCAAGGGATAGTAGAACCATGTGCTCTTCCTTGATTATGCGTGATTGAAAGTAACCAAAGTACTTTGGAGATGGGTGCTGTGGACGCACATGTTGGGGGAGAGGAGAGTGAAAGTAGCACAATTCAGGAACCTTGCCATTTTGTCAGAACATCTGAGTTGACTTACTGGGACGTGTGGAAAACATGGATGGGGCCAGAGATTGGAGTAGATTAGACACTAAGCAATGTGACTTCCTCTACCATGTCCCATGAAAACTTGTGGCAGTGTTAATGCTTGAGGGAACATTAATGTTACTGGTGGGGTTTGCTCTGCCAGTCCTAGTCAGGTTTAAAGTAGTGAGTTTAGTGCGTTGCCGCTCCTGACTGGCACATTGCCATATCAAGGAGAAAGGGTGAGTTGCATGAAAGCAAGAAGCCACCCAGCTGCCTGAGAACTAAAACTGAGGGAGCAGTTCTCTGCAAGGCCTCAACCGTTGCTGTCTTTGTGAAACCCACTCCTGTATGTTCCTCAGTCCCAGAGACTGGTGAGATGCAGGGGCAGCAGGATGTGGACTCCAAAGTCTCTTTCAAAATGATTTGTTGCCGTACTTGACAATAGAACCAAAGCTGCTTTCAGGCAAAATGCTTTGAACTGGAAGTATTGAGACTGTGCTTTTACATGGGGTATCCATCTATTTATTATTGTGACCTGGTTAAAAATACTGTGACTCTTTCTTGTATCACTCCCTGGTTTTCTTTAGAAACAGAAGTGGAAGTGCAGGGGAAGGTATGAATGAACTAATTTTTCTACCGTCGAATGTTTGGGGCTTGGTTTGAGTTCTGACAACTTATGTAGGCTCACTTAAGAAACCATGGGGCTAGTGGGAGTGAGAAGAAGCATAATCTAGTGGTTAAAATGCAGAGGATAGGGGGTTAAGATTTATCATTGTGCAACATTGGCTTAATCTCTCTGTGCCTTTGTTGTGCCTCTGTAGAATAATGATAAAAACCAAGGGGGAATGCCAAAACTCTTCACTACCTATATCTGAGATGGATATTGAGCCATA